CCTCCTGCCTGCCTGCCTACCTGCCTACCTGTGGCTGCCTACCTGCCTACCTGCCTACCTGCCTACCTGCCTACCTGCCTACCTACCCTACCTACCTACCGACCTACCCTACCCTACCCTACCCTACCCTACCCTACCCGACCCGACCCACCTACCTACCTACCTAGCTAGCTAGCTAGCTAGCTAGCCACCTACCTACCGATCCAGATACAAAACAGGGAACTCTTTATATCGTTATATGTTTTTTTTTCTCTTTATTTGTCAATCCATCTATGTACCTACTTACCTACCTGTCTATTTATTTATCTATCTAATCTAATCTAATCTAATCTAATCTAATCCAATCCAATCTGTCCTATTTATCTATCTATTTATCCATCCATCCATCCATCGATCGATCTATCCATGTGTCTATCTGTCTATCCGTCTATCTCTCTAGCTCTCTAGCTCTCTATCTGTCTATCTATCGATCTATCCGCCAATCCATCCATCCGTTTCTCTATCTAGCTAGGACGTTGTGCAGCTTTGCTGTGTTTTCGGGAAAACACCAGCAACAATAGCTTCAGCGGCAAGAGCAACAACGACAACTTGAACCAGGCTGCCATTTCCGAGCGCTTCACGCGGATAGAGGAGGCTGTTCAGGCCCATCAGCGCTTCGGGTTTGCCTTCGCCCAGTTTGTTTCTCCACGGCCCCGCAAAGACGAATTGAGAAGCACTATGCGGAAAGAGTGCAGTCAGAGATTGGTCTTCCGGATTCCCACCCCCGAGTTCACGAAGTGGCTTCCGATCCAGAGCCACAGCCCATAAAGCCCAGGCAAGTTTCCGCCAGACCGAACCAGTGCTTCGGAGACGTGCCCGAAGCATCTCAAAGCCTAGTATTTAACCGGAAGCCCACAGCAGGCCCTGCCCGGGCGCTTGACAAAGTGCGAGCAGCGTGGCGAGGAGACACGGCATGTTGTGATGAGGATCGATCAAACTGCGCTGCTTTAGTGGAAGCACTCTGGTTGACACTGTGAATCTCCAAGCGTTTGTTAGACACGCATGCCAACGGCCTGAAAATCAATCGCGATGGAGTTGAAAGTGCTGATCAATGACAGTGCAATTAGGGTCTATAAGGTCTGTGACTATGACAGTGCCGCATCTGCTGCTGACAACAAGGTCGACACCGACACCCATGACGACGGGTATGAAGATGATGAGGTGTTGGTGGTGGTGTTGGCACGTTGGAGCATCTGAATTTCACAGCGAGGTTTAGAGCTCACATCGGAATTTTGACTGGAACTGACTCCGAAATTCCTTCGTGAAGTGCACAAGCCGAAACGGCAGCCTGAATTCACTGACCAACTCCCCCTTAAATCATTCCGAGATGTGAAGAATCAGCAAGAGGTTTCCAATGTGCCTGAAGCTGCGAACAATTTAACACGGTTCGGGAGGCTGAGATTTGAGAAAGCCGAGCTGTGTCGTATCCTCCTTGATGCTGTATCGAAGCCTATTGTGCTTTGAGGAGCTGGAGCACGACCTCGAGAGTTTTCGAGAGCTTCCTGCGGCGCTTGAGGCCAGCACCGAACTAGTTGAACTTGAATTCGCAGTACACGCATATTGGGCCAGGCGTACTACAAGCAAGCCCAAGCCCTGACGGAGCGGGTTGCGCAGTGCGAAGAGCTATCAGAGGCTGGGGCGGCTGTGGGCTCGGGGAAGAAGCTTGGCCGAGTGTTTGGCCTCATTTGATCCGGGATGGGCCAGGATCTGAAAGTCAGGGAGTTTTGCCACATCAGTCAGAAAACCTTTGGGCTTACGACAAGAGCGGCCGTCTCGCTATCAGAACGGCTGAATGGTGAGCCACTCTATGTCCGGAAGGCGATCAACACACAAGCCCATGTGCTGTCGGAGCGGGTGGCAATGTGCGAACAGCTGCCAGAGACCGTCGAGGGCTTAAGGTTTGAGCTTGGTCGCGGTGGGCTGTGTTTGTGACACAGGCAGACAATGATGCCTGGTCACGTTTAGACTCAGCTAGACAAATCATTCACACGACTGGGATGCCAGACTCGCTCATATGATGTTCTAGGATTCGTGTTGCAATCGTCCGTCGATCAGATCCTGTCTTCATTTGTCATGCTGCACCCGAGAATCCCCTCCCGAACCCCTCGGAAACGACTCCGAACCAAGGTGTCCAGCAAGCCCCAACTCCTGTCGGAGAGGGTAGCGCATTGCGAAGAGCTCTCCGAGGCTCCATGAACCCAGACTTGAGACTGCAAAGGGCTCCCGTCTTGTGTTAAGCTTTTCTCTTGACACACTATGTTTGATTATTTGGCTAGTGGGGTGTCGCAGCATAGAAATCATTGCTGTGACAAGAATGCGCTCAAATTAGTCATTGGCCATGTGCCCCGTTTGAACATGTCGTAACGCAGGAGCAAGACTCAAAAAGTCCTTGCCCTCCCGGTACCCCGCCCCGTGCCCCGAAGGCATCCAGCAAGCAAGCCCAAGTGCTGTCCGAGCGAGTGACGCAGTGCGAACAGCTGTCACAGGCGCGCAGTTTTTGAACAATTACAGGGGTTGACATCTTGTGGATTTAGTGTACAGACAGAAACTATCAAGTCTCTATTTGTCTTGCTCTGCTCTGGTACTGGTGCTGACCGAAGCTCCCGAGCTTTCTCATGGAGCCTGGCTTCCCTATTGTAGGCCGCGATGCGATAGGTTTGTTGTTACCTGGAGGGGGAAAGCCGATCACCTTTGGGTCTGCGGCTACGGCTGCAGAGACCGTTGACCAATGTTGGTACCTTTATTTACAAGTAGAAAATGTCATGAGCCATGAGGGTAGGTTATGGTTGCGACTGATAAGGAGAACTCCAAGCAAGACTGACCAGTCCGACTAAATGGGACCGCGCATGGCTGCAAAGGCGGTTGACACCCTGGTGGCCCGCTTGGAGAAGTGCGAACGACATGCGGGAGATGGAGACGTTCTTGCCAGGCGGCCAGCCGAGGCTTTTCAGGTGTCTCGCAGTTTTCCCACTCTTTCAGATACGGAAAGAAAGGGCGTGTCTCACGTAGTTTCCATACTTTCCCACGTGGCTATTCAATAGTTCCCATTCGGCGTGTCGGAGCGGAAACTCCCAGCTCCGGGCCTCTCCAATAGCTTCTGATGGAGGCTCCCGGACGATGTCGACCACCCGAACCTTCCTGGTCAGGCGCCTTTTCCTTCTTCCCTCTTGATCAAACAGCAATTGCCCTCTACTCAAGCTTCATATGCCAGGCTGTACATCACGGGCTGTTGTGCGAGCCATGTTTCGGATTAGCTGATATCGTAAACTACCAGAGCCCTTAAAGTTTCAGAAGTCCTTGTGAGGCCTTTGCAGAAGATGGCTCTCGAGCCCTCGCCCGGGTTACTTCCAGGCCCGTGCCCACAGCTCCGACGTGATGTCGGAGTCTTGCCTATTTGGCCCGATTTACGACAGTTTACACTGCATGGGGCGAGTTCATAGGTCCCAAGCTACAAAAATGTTGCTTCTCCATTCCGCTCATGCTACATGTCTCAGTATCTTTACACAGCTTCTGCGACACATGGAGTTTGATCATGTTCGCTTCTATCCTTCGCTTTCTGGCTGTCACGTGGCGTGCAGAGGCTAGACTCGCTGGAGGTTCAGCAGCGTGCCAGTGAGGTCGGGATTCGTCGAGTAGATGGCTTTTCGAGTTTAGGGTTTCGGGCACTAGGGTCAGGATGTGTTATCAGGGTTAAGGAGTCGGGTCATCCGTCCTTGAAAGCCGGCCTCCGGGGCGCGGCTGAGATCCGAGCCTTTTGCGGTGCAGACACCGAGCCCTCAGCTTGCAGAGAAGAGCCTCCTCGAAGCCCGGAGTTTCGAAGAGGCTGGCCTCGCGACTGCAAAGCGATTGAAGGAGGAGATGGAAAGCTCCATTGTGCAGAGGCGAGCTCCGACCCAAAGGGAGAGCAGGGCAAAAGCACTCCTGCCGAAAGAGCCAGAGTTTGACGGGCTGTAGAGCTACAGAACAGAAGAGGCATGGCCTTTGAGAGAAGCAGAGAATGGGTGAATAGGCCCTGCCGAGAGCACAGCGCAAGAGTTCGAGAGGCTCCTGCAGTCAATAAAGCCGTGGCGGTGCATGGCGAAGCCAACACCTCACGCAGGCTGGAAGCACTGGAAGCGGAGCCGACGAAGAAGGTGAAGCTTGCGAAGCTTGCAGAGAGTCTTGCTGCAGATCGTCGGGTCGGGGCACGCCCGTGGTCCAGCTTTGGACACGGTCTCTCACTCGTTTCAACGTCTTTCTACTAGACTCCAGCCAGACCAGCCTGTCCGCGACATGTCGCATCCCATCCCCAGACGGATCGCCATGCAGGGACGTACTGTCGGCGTGCCGCCAACAAGGAAGCCGTAGCAACTGTTGCTAGCTTTATGTGTCCTGCCTTCTGCGGCGTCCTGAGTGGCAAGAGCTCCTGTCCGCAAACCATCAAAGCTGAGAGCACTAGGTCCCCTGTTGCGTACTTTGAAAGGTGGATGCCGCCGAGCCTTCCGAATCCCAGGCGCCAAGTCTCTTGAGACTTCGTCATGTGCGTTCAACATACATGTGTGCAAACAAATGTACCGAAGTATGTATATATGTACGTAGGTACGTATGCAGGTACGTATGCAGGTATGTGTGTCTGTACGGACGGATGGATGGATGGATGGATGGATGGATGGATAGATGGACGTGTATGTGTACATGCGTACTGGTACCATTATGTACCTATGTGCGTGCAGATGACTAATCTATGCTTACACTCCGACCGGAGTGGGTCACGCAAAGCCTTTAGCGAGTGGATCTGGTAAGGCTTTTGGCAGCACAGGCGCTTGTTTAGCATAAAGCACGTCGGTCAGACCGAGAGGTGATGGGGGTGTTGACCATCCAAAAGTAGGACTGCACCCACAGTTAGCAGCAGCAAGAACTAGTCGATGCGCACCAGTGCACCGACACAACAAGCACACGCTACACTGCAGCAGCACAGGGGGGTTCGTTTCGCCATCTTCGCCGGACCACACGTGCACCAACATGTTGGTACAGAGTCATCTGCCAACTGCCGTCGATACAACACGGTAGCAGAGCAGCGTGTCGACGAGTGATGTCGTGGACCTGCTGCTCCGGTGTACCGGCACACGGATTTGCGAGGCAGAGGCAGAGTTACTCAGCAGCTTTTAGCGGATTGTCGACGTACCGATGTCGCTGTCGCAGCGTGTGCATGCACTGGCTCTCGAGAACAAGTAGTCTCCCGATTCTCTAAATACAAACATACATAATCTGGATAGCCATGTGCCTACAGATATACAAACAAATAACTAGGTAGATATGCATACACTGTACATACATGCACCCACACAGGTTAACCGGCGGAGTTAACCGGGTTCTCTTATGTGGTAAGCGCTCTGATCTGGGAGTGGGTGTCGGCATAAGCCCACGTGTATGTATATATATATATATGTATATATATACACACACACACACACACTCAAATGTTTCTTGATTTAGATAGCTGTTAATGTTGTTATTCGGCTGCAAATGTTGTTTTTTCCGCTTTACATGTGTGGGTGTCGGCAAGACTTCACTCTGGGCCGAAGCTCGTGGTGGGGTTTCATAAATCAAGTAACGATACAAGAACATTTGGGCTGGAATTGGTCATTGGTGTCGTCTGGCAGTTGCACCAGACTGTTCCTACTCTTCGGTCACCGACGGTTGTCCTTTTCAATAATCCCGCAACGCAGCGCAGTTCAGGACTAAGCGGTCTATTCCCCGAAGAGCGACTGTGGTATTTCCAAGCCGTAAAGTTCTTGCACACGACGCTGTCCTGAAGGTGCTGTCCGACACGCAGCTTATGCTTTTGGATCTGCAGCGACGGGTTGGGCCCCTGGATTTGCTCTTTCTTATGCAATCCCCCGATCACGGAAGGGCACCGCAACCACTCATTGAGTCGTCGTTTGGCTCAGTTGACATCACCGCCCGAAGCCTGACCTCCGATGAATTTTCAGGGTATGACAGAATTGGGTGTCCCAAACCTTGCGCTGGGCAGGTGTAGTAGTATTTAGAGTTCAGGGTTTCGGGCCTACGGGTTTACGTTGAGAGTTTAGGTACTACGACTATGGAACTAGGTCACCAAAACCGTAACGATAATGGTTTGTTGGGGTCCCCTATCATGATGGCAGTTTGTATTTTAAGGCTTAGGCTTTAGGGAGGCATTTTAAAGCTTTTGGGTTTAGGGTTTGTAGAGACGCCCCGAGAATCAGCAACATAAGTGACGTCCTCAATGTTGAACTCATCGACATTGGAGCTGATACTGTTAAACCCTATACCCTCTTCCTGGCACAGTCGGTGCGACCCGATAACAGAACACGGCCGAGGAAAACAACTTGGCGATTACTCTGCATAGTAAACAGAGGATGGCACGTCTGCGCACTAATAGAATCCTTATAGAAGCCCTATACCCTAAACTCCCCACTTGTAGTTCCCTTTAAAACAGCCTTGCTCCATGAGCCCAGGTCTCTCTTCTGGAGCATTCCATGCCGTCTCAAGGATGCCGTTCTCAGGGAGGAAGCAACCAACAGAGGAAAACGAGGTACAAAGGCAATAGTCGTGGCAATGGCAAGAGAGGAGGACTAGTTATGGAGGGGCTTGGTTCGCTCTTTGCGGCTCATCGCTCTCGTTTAGTTCATAGTACTTCGAGCCGAAGCCTTTTGACTTTAGACGTGCGGACTTGTGCGGAAGTGCGGAAAGTGCTCGGGAGAGGCCCGCATGATTGTGTCGGCGTGGCGCTTACCAGGAGCACGCGAGAACGGAGAAAGCGGAGAGGCAGTGCCGACAAACCCAGACTGTCTGCACAAACGGGATCTTCATGTTGATGCTGATCACATCTATATGAATATCTTGGAGACCTGCTGACAGCTTGGAAGACATGACTTATCCCAACTTGCGTGTGGGTGGTTGTGCTGGAGAGCCAGGTCCATTGAAAACAGGTAAACATGCAGGGCATCTCAGGACGGTTTTAATCAGCAAGCTAGAGGCTGAAGCAGCTACCTCCCAGCACAGTCCTGGCACGTGTAGATGTTCAGCATGAGAGGTGGTGGCCGTGGAACCAACCCCGAGGACGGCCACTCTGACCCATGCTGCAGAGCTCGCGAAGAGCCTAGAACCGCAGTGCGAATACTGCTTGGGCGTGACACTGCACGTAAAACGGCGTCCGTCAGAGATAAACATGCTGAGATGGAGCAAATGGAGCTGGACCTGAAGCTCGCGAGGGAAGCTGCAGGCGGACACCTGTTTTGTTGGCGGGGATGCCGGCCTGCATGTGGTGCCTTGGATATGGATAAGGCTTTTGATTGATCATGTTGTTTTCATGTCAAGTGTCCGGCCTACCGCCGTGGCACTTGTGGTGGTGGTTCAGGTCTCGCAGCTGCAGCAGGAGAAGCAACACTCATGACCTGCCACACCAAATCTTTGTGCAGAACTACGCAGACCATGCACTGTCCGAAGCTGAACAACAAACCACAGAAGCCTTGTTCTCAGACTGTAATCACGCAGATGTCCTGCGGAACCAATGCGACCCAAACCCCAAGTGCTCATATAGGCTTCTTTAGATTCTGCTTGTCTTCCGATAAAGACTGCGGTAAATAGCATTGTACTGACCATTGCTCCTCATGGCTCCTAGCCAGAATCAGAGTAGTGGCAGCATCAGTATCTGGGAAACGGTATATATAAGCCTAAAAAGGCTACGGCTAGTGGCAGAACACCTCCAATCTCTGGCAGGGCTGGATTCGACACCCGGTATGTCCGAGTCTCAGAAGCTCGCTTGTTCCCCAAATACGATGGCGGTGGGTTAAGCTGCAGGGTGTGGGGAGCTTGGTTTCGGGCAATCATTGTGTCATCAGATGCGTATGAACTGTAACCAGCATCAGATGTCGGTTCTCGGCACCATGTGCGGCAATGCAGCGCTCTGCAATGCCTAGCCTGGCCGAAAGTTGTTAAATACCTGGCGGCCCGTCTGACACGGTCTTGGAGTCCCAATCGGCCTTGCATACCAGTGGGGAGAGTCTACAAGCTCCAGGCAGGCAAACTTGGCTTTCCGTGCTGCTAGCCGCGGGGCTCGGGGCCGTTAGGCAGACAAGCCAATTTAAGTCTTAATTCCGCGCCCAGCTCTGCGAAGGCAGAATGAAGGCGCTCAGGCACACCTTGCAGAAGCACAGCGTTACTCGGCAGTGGGTTGGCCTAGATCCAGACTATGATGCCCAGCCCTCGGAAGAGAAGGAACTCCTCCAAGAATTGGAGTGGCAACGGACTCTGACTCAGAACCTGACGTCCTACAGTACGGCCTTGGAGTCAGCGGTTCAGAGCCTCCTCGAAGCCCAACAGAAGTTGTCGGATGTGGGCCTAGAGCTGCTCTGTCCCGGAACCACCGGCGTCCTCCACACGCTGAGGGCCACTTTAGCTCGGGTGCGTCAGGGCACGGAGGCTGTAAAGATGCCGCTTTCTGGTCACCTCCAAAGCTTGGATGCCTGTGCCTCGGAGGTGAAGCACTTGGAGGAGGCAAGGGCCCTCTCGAAGCACTACGAGGAGAAGGTGGAGCAGCCTGGGCCTGAGTGAAGTCCATCCTGAGTGCACTGACAATAGGGTATGTTTGCGGACTCCGCGAGCTTCAGCTGTTCTGAGGCTTTCTCGCGAGGTGGAGCGCAACAACAAAGCGGGCAAGCCGGTGAGCTCCACAGAGGCACGGCTGGAGCGCAACCGCGAGAAGCTGCAGCAGGCCGCCGCGCAGGCAGCTGAGGCGTCTCAGGTGGCACAGCGGGCGCTGCGGGCCTGCGGGGACCGAAGACCCCAGCTCGCAGAGCACGCTCGCGCCCTGACGGCCACCATGTCTAGCACCCTCGCCTCCGCCAACGCCTCCGCCTACTCGGCGCCCGTCGCGACCGTGCTGGCGCTGCCGCGCGGTGCCGGCGCCGGCGCTTCCATCTCACCAAATCAGGTGTCTCCGGCCGAGTCCCCCAACCGCTTCAACCCGTTCACTGAAGAGGACGAGGGCCAGGGGCAGGGGGACAACAGCTTGAACCCTTTCGCCGCAGATATTCATGGTGCACGAGCTGCAGACAGCTCAAGTCCCTCCAAGGCTTCGCACCAGTCCGAAGTACAGTCTCACTGGACGACGGTTCCTCCTTCAGAGTCAAGTGAGGAGCCCGGCAACGATGTGCCGCCTGTAAGCTCCCTCAGCCCCTGGGCTGAAGCCACTGACACAAGCGCAGTGGCTGACACTCCCGGCCAGCTGAACTCCGCTGATGCCCTCAAAGCTTAAATCAGCAGCTCTGGCCCAGGCATGTCTTCTTATACAGCTTTCTGCCTACAGCCGCTGAGCGACGATGCAAAAGTGTGCTGCGCCTCAAGACTCTTAGTGGCCAAGAAACCACAATGAGCTGGTAATGTTGGGCACTGCTTGTTGCAGTCGTGCAGCTCTTGAAGTCTTGCCATTCATGTCGTAATCACTTCTCTTGTCGCTTTATAAGCCGTTCAAGCTCTGTATCTCTCCAAGATATGTATCATGTCAAGGCTTGTTGCAGTACAGTAGGTTGTACAGCCAAGCCGTGTAAGAACTGGCATAGGTTCCAAGTCACATAAAGGCGCGTCGCTCCAGGCACGAACCATGTAGTCTCAAGTCTCAGATGACGGATGCAAGCCCACGCATTCCCACTTTCTCTCGTGGACGACTTGCTGCTGAGTTTGCGTCAGACCTGTCTACACACAGTGCTGTCTGACAGATGCAGTAGCAACAAAAGATGATGGCACCAAGAGCAGTCTCGAGGGCCCCAGACTTGAAGCCAAGACAGGAGAGGCCATCAGAGGCCCGACTACCAGTGGCTGCTGGGTACTATGGAAGTATGCTTCATCCGTGCCGGCTTAGGCCTAGCAACGATGCCACAGCCCCAGCGACAGTCCAGATCCTCGGTGTCCTGCGGCCATTGTTCCGGGTATTGTTTGAGAACCCCCAGAGCTGGAAGCTGCTTGGGGTCAGTTGGCGCTTTTTTTTTTCGATTCCTGGGCCTCCTCTGCCTGCCCCGTGGCCGCTCTTCTGGCCGCCCTCTGGGCTTGAAGAGAAGAGTCCATCCGTGTTGCATCGGGTGTGGAACTGATCGGCAACGCTCGAACCAGGCTGGCACACCTCGGGGACTCCCTCCATTGGCAGTCTTGCCCTCAGCATGAGCAGACTGGCACAGGAGATGTCGTCCCAGCAAGTCAGGCAACTTCCAGGGCTCGAAAGGCTCTGTGTACTGACTCTGTCAGCACGCCGAATCCAGCGCGTTCGACTGAGGCCATGAAGGTACTTGCTTCCCCGAGACTCTTGTCAGGGACTCGGAAGGGCAGGCAGCCTATTCTGAGTTGGCTCTTGCCCTCACGTAGGGCCGCCGCAAGGGGCGCCTCATTGCCAGCAAAAACTGGCATTTGCACCTGCTCCTGCTCCGAGGCAGCTCTCGATGACTCCTCGCCTGACGTGCCTGGCCCGGTTGACACCGACGCAATCGCATCGTCGGCATTTCTTAACGGGGAAGGCAAGAAATGTGGCGGTTCGGAATGATCTGTCGAGTAGATGTCTCCATTCAACAGCGGAGAGGCTTTGCTCAAACCTTCAAGGAGGCTCCAGGTAAAAGGTCCCGAGCCATCCCAAGCGCTGAGCCCTTCATGTTCGGCCGGGCGGAGCCATGGCGGAGCTCGTAGAAGAGCGGGATGTTGCCCTCCGAAGCTTTGATCTACTTGGCTTCTCAGCTTTTCACTGCAAGGGCCCTGAAAAATTCCTATCCTGTGCTGTAAGGACACTATGCGCTGCTGAGTCCTTCTGCGAGCGGGGCCACAAAGAATTGGCCACTGTGGCTCTAAGGGCTTTTCAGCCAGAATCGCCTACAAAGATGCATTGATGTGCTTTGATGAAACGGTTCCAAATCGGCATACCGTCATTTGAAACGCTTCGCGTCGTCCGCCTCGGCCCGGTTGTACTTGAAGCAGGTGCATTGTTTGGGAAAACAGCGGGTAGGCCACACATGAGCGCATTTGCAACAGTGATACAGACTGTAAATTTTTAATGTCGGTATTTGTTTTCATGCTGAGGCTCCGAGCAGCAATCCCACGTGAAAGGTGGCATTACCCCATGGACATTACTATAATAATCGTGCCACACTTCTCACTGTTCTCGTATACAACCTCCCAAACGGGGAGAGGAATTCAACGAAGTAGAAGACACAGCCCCACCAGGCTTTGGCATCGCCTCGCCGCAAGGAAACCAAACTTGGGAGGGGATTGTGGGGAGAGGCTCTGACCGCTTTCGAATTAGGCAAGCAGACACACCTATTCAACCTATTCCTGTTCCGCCTTGAATCCAAAAGGCTCCGGTGTTCTTCGGCGTTGCCGTGTCCTCCAGAGGACAGTGCGCTTTCGGCCCAACCATCTCACGTCGTCGTGTGCTGAACGCCACCTCCCTGAGAACGGGATCTTGAAAGGAGCCTCGGCGAGAGGTGCCTCCTCTGGATTCCTGGAGGGCCTTAGCAAGCACCCTGCTCCTTAGTAGCATACTCAGCTAGTTGCTGGCACAAGCCAAGGGCTCCACTTCTTCAGTAGTTTTGCCAAGGATCCTCGCTTCGTACCTGACCTCCCGGAACGGCGAGGACGAACTCTTTGCGACTTGGGCAAGGCGTGCCTCGGGAAAGACCTTCAAGGAGCCTTGGGCTCGGGACCCAGGATGGCGTAGGCGCATATCTGAACCTCGAGGCCCAGCTGCTTTCGTAGGGTACCATCACACCCTGTGGAGATGTGACCTAGCTTCCTCCACTCTCCGCCTCCACCTCCCTGTGCCTGAGCTTCGCTCAGTCCACATCCGACAGGTTCTGCGCCCCTGCATTCCAACCAATAGATCCGGCGCATTCTGATGGGCATCCGTTTGCACTGAAAGGTCAGGTCAGTAGCACGGAAATGTCCTTCAGTTCTGTGCTTCCCCTCCTGGAAGCATCGAAATCCGGAGCGCCCGGATCGGAAAAGCCGAAGTCAACCCTAAACCCTAAAGCCTGAACCCAAGACATCCAGGAGGGTGTGTCCTGTCTGCGGCGGCTACTGACACTTCGTGCATCGTCAGTGTCTACTGCTTGGGATCTGGGCCGCTACTTGGTGATTGTAATCTATAGCAATCATGCATGAGACTATAGAACATTATATCGAGGTGTATAATGGTGTTTAATGATTTGTAACAGTCTCATGACAGTATATGATATATGTATATATAAGATGCGAAGCCAGGGCTGCAGCCACTTCAAAATCCTGCCACGTCGCTGCATCATTCACTTCCCCTTTCGTTTCCTTTCAGTTGAGACCAGAAGGTTCTTCTGACATCTTCTTACAACCTCCGAAGTTGCCGTAGCTTGCTACTTTCCCACTGCCCCGGCCAACTGTCGACTGAGGCTTCAAGGCAGCCAGCTACGACGTTCTTTGCCAGACGCGATTCCCTGATTAGCAGGGAAGGAAGTTACGTTAAGAAATCCGGCTTACGACCAGAAAGGAAGTACTTCACGACAGAAGACATGCTCGTTCTTGGTGAATGTCTGTTGCCATACCTAGTGACGTAACCGAGTTCAGTTGGTGTCGCAGTGCTTCCACTGGTGGAGCAAGCTTTTTGACGGCCCAAGCGGGAAGTGACACCTCCAAAGAGTAAAGCTCGCTGAGGCCTAAGTCCCAAGGCCCAAAAGTCCAGCAACCTAGCTCCAGAAAGTTTGCAGTTCATATCTCAACGGAACCTGAGGAATACCTCGGCAAGGGCCGATCGCAGGAGCCGAAGACTGCATATTGGATTAGCGCAAGCCGACTGTTTCCCCAAACAGGAGACAGATGAAGGGCGGAGCCTTGCTCTGCCACGCTGGCAGCCCGGGCCAGGAGCGCATCGAGTTACAGCGATTTGGGGACACTCATCAAGCGAAAGGCCACGAGGAGAGCTCCTCTTGCTGGCCTGGCCTTCGCAGACTGCTGCTTGGCACTTTTTCCTTTTTGGCTTCGAAGGCTCAGAGCCTGCAGCTGAGGTATCGGCCCAGACCCTGGAAACTTCCAGCGCCGCCCGCTCTATCCGAACCAAAAGTGTTTGGTGGTGCTGGCTCGATGCCCCTCTGCTTTCTTTGCTAGCTGCAGGGGACAGACCATCTATGCCTCAGGGAAGGGGAAGGCTTGAAGGCATCTCGGAAGTTGCAGCAAGAGCCCTTCAATCATGGCCTAAAATACCCTTCAATCATGGCCTGAAATACAAAACACGGAGTCGGAGTCGGAAAAAGCTTAGTGTGGACCGCATCAACGCATGCTGCAAAGGGAACCGACACGTGCAATGTAAACCCAAGCACCGCCAGCCGAGCAGTAGAAACACTTGGACGTGATCTTTGTGACTTGAAGGCGGCGCCCTGGCTTGCGAGCACATCCCTGGAGGACGCCAGGCCGTTCTGACTCACCTGCGACGGCTCTTTCGCCGGACACGCCGGTATCATGACATCCAAGGCGTTTCTCGGATCGCAGAGACCGTCTTCTGGGTTCGCACCTTTCGAAGCCGTACATGAAACCTCACGGAGACACAATGACGCCGATCGAGCGAAGAGCACTCAGCGTCCTGGCCAAAGGTTGAGTTGGCTCTCATGGACCACTTCCAGCTAGATCTGTCCGACATGGAGTCAGAGGCAAAGGAGCTGGCGGAAGTGCTGCTGGACGGGACCCTTGGTTCAGCTTTTGTCGTCTTCCCTTCCGCCCCAAAAACCAGATCCATTCCCTGTTTCTCAGGATTGGGAAGGATGCGCAGGACTCTCAGGAGCACCTTGGCCGATCTTTTCCCCCCGCCCCTCGAACCTGGCCTGGGACTCGCATCAAAGTCTGTGAGCCAAGGGTTTTTTGAGATGCGATGCAGCAAAAAGTGCATGCGTCGACTCAGAGGTTCGCTCCCTGATCATATTTGGGTCCGGTTCCTGAGGAGAAAGGCTCTGCAGGTCTCTCTGCTGGCCCAAAGAACTCCGCAGACCAGGTTTAGAGACAACCCTCGTGTAAGGTATGGCGCCCAGCTCCGGTTGTTGGTCGCTTTGACACTTGGCGAAGTCATAGCAAAATGCTTTTCTGCTTGGGTAGTGAAAGTGCTGGGAAGAAGGAAGAGCATCCACGATGCATTCAGCCGCGTTTCAGACTAGAGTGCATGTGGAAGGCTGGCCTGGGGCTTCGGGTTTGCTTTAGAATCGAGGGTGGACGGCCTTGTGGCTGTGGGCGCTCACCAATTTGTAGAGCGATCCTGCATGAACA